GCACAGGGGCCAGGATGCACAGGTCATGGGAGGGAAGGGAGCATCTCACTGTACCACTCACCACCCCTTCCTGAAGAATGCATTCAGGCTACTCACGCTCCTTCCAGTTTATATCCTGTTTTTGTATTTTAGTTCTAACATATAATCTATACCTCACAAATTAGTCATTACTAATATCATTGTTTTATACAAGCCATGTTTTTTCTTAGATTTACCCACATATTTTGCTTGCCCATATTTTTGTTTACATTCCTTCTTGTGTCTTGGGCTTTCAAACTGAGATACTCTTTGTTCTTTCGAGAGAATATTCTGAGGAATTTCCTTTATCTAGAGTCTATGGGTAAACGGTCTCGGTTTTTGTTTGTTGAAAAATACATTCGTTTTTCCCTAGGTCTTTTGTTTTGCTGGGTATACAATTCCAAATTGATGTTATTTTCTCTTCAATATTAACAACATTCTACTATCTTATACCATTGTGGCTGGTAAGGAATTATCTATTAGTCTAATCTTTAGTTCCTTGCCAGTAATTTATCTTTTCTTTCTGGTTATTTTTCAGATCTTTTTATCTGTGGTGTTTTGCTGTTTCATTATAATGTGTTTAGAGGTGGATTTCTCTATATATTTATCCTGTTTGGGTTTCATTAAATGTTCTGGATCTAAGAATTGGTGCCTTCCTACAATTTTGGAAAATTCTCAGTCATTTTCTCTTCAAATATTAACTCAGCTTCCTATTATCTCCTGCCAGAAGTCTGACTAGACTAGGTCCCAGGTTCCACTCTGTTTTCTCTCTTTGTTTTGAATTATGGATAATTTATTGGTATTGATCCTCCAGCTCATTACTTCTGTCTTTCACTATGCCTATGATGATGTTTAATTCATCCACTTAGCTTTTAATTTAAACTATATTCTCATATCTAAATGATCTATTTGACTTCTGTTCAAACCTGATTATTTATTTTCACTGTCTTTTTATTACTTGGTCATCTTTTTAAAACCTATCTTTTTATTGTAGATAGTAAATAGAGTTATTTTACATTCTTTGCTTAACTTCATATCTGAAGTCTTTAAGAGTCAATTGTCCTGCATAATTGTTGTTGTTGTTGTTGCTGGTTCTCACTAATGATGTGTGTTTCCTTGTATAGTTATGATTTTTGACTGTGTGTTCATGCTTCTTAGAACTTTATCTGAGGGTATTATTTGGAGTCTGAATTATTTGAAGCTCCATCCTTTCAGACCTAATTTGTATTTATTTCAGCCAGACTCTTGGACACACCATCAACCTGTGACCATCTGGTTTCATTTTATTTTTTTGCAGCTACAAGGCTATACTATGTTGCCCAGGTTGGTCTCAAACTCCTGGCCTCAAGTCATCATCCTGCCTCAGTTTCCCAAAACGTCAAGATTACAGGTGTGAGCTCCTGAGCCCAACCATTTTTTATTAAATTCTTCCCTTGATGTTTTTTGGGACTACACAGATAATTAAACATGGACCTCAAATCAACACATGCTTATGAAATCTCAGGAGAGAATTTCTCCCTTTCCATTCTGTGCTGAGACTGAAACAGGCTAGTTTCTTTACTGTCCATTTTTATGCAGTAGGTTTATATCTTGTTCACCCTTACAGTGAACATTCCAGTTTTATATAAAGAAGTTTATACTTTCCTCTTTAGGAGGTGGGAGTAGTTATCATCTATTATTTGCAAAGCTGTCAAAACAGAAACATGAGGTTTCTAGAATGTGGCAAAAATCCTCAAGGAGAAAGCTGATACTATTTCCTGTTTATCTCATGGAGTTTTAAAATCTCAGTTTGATGATGCTCTCTGTACAATCCTTCTCTTTTGTGTTTGTGTGTATATGTATATCATCTGAGTTGCTTCCATCCAGTGGATGTCATAAAGGTATTCAGTCCACCATATTGCCAAAAAATTAAATCATGTCCTTAGTATACAAATTTTTAAAGCATATTAAGCATATTGCTCGACTGTTCTCTAGTAAAACTTGCCAGTTTATATTACATTCATCAGTGCAGTAATCAGAAACTACAAACTTTCAGGTCTCAGGCTGGCCTTAGTTTAAACATTTAAATTGTATTTGATACAAAGCTTTATGAAATCGGGAGCTTTCCAGAATTCTTGGCGAGCAGCGGCTGCCTGAGCTGCCTTCAGCTGTGCACTCCTTCCCACTCCCCCATGCCAGCTTCAGCCTACTCACCAGGTATAGAAAATAGTGAGAGAAACCACTTACTATGACGTTTTGGGGGTCAAACCCAATGCCACTCATGAAGGATTGAAAAAGGCTTATAGGAAACTGGCCTTGAAGTACCATCCTGATAAGAATCCAAATGAAGGAGAGAAGATTAAACAGATTTCTCAAGCTTACGAAGTTCTCTCTGATGCAAAGAAAAGGGAATTATATGACAAAGTAGGAGAATACGCAATTAAAGAGGGTGGAGCAGGTGATGGTTTTGGTTCCCCCATGGACATCTTTGACATATTTTTTGGAAGAGTTGGAAGGATGCAGAGAGAAAGAAGAGTTAAGGATGTCGTGCATCAGCTCTCAGTAACCTTAAAAGATTTATAGAATGGTGCAAAAAGAAAATTGGCTCTGCAAAAGAACATAATTTGTTAAAAATGTAAAGGCAAAGGTGGTAAGAAAGGAGTGGTAGAGTGCTGTTCCAATTGCCAAGGTACTGGAATGCAAATAAGAATTCATCAGCTAGAACCTGGAATGGTTCAGCAAATTCAATCTGTGCATGGAGTGCCAGGGTCATGGGAAACAGATCAGTCCTAAAATAGATGTAAAAGCTGCAGTGGAATGAAGATAGTTCAGGAGAAGAAGATTCTAGAATTTCATATTGACAAAGGCATGTAAGATGGCCAGAAGATAACATTCCATGGTGAAGGAGACCAAGAACTAGGACTGGAGCCAGGAGATATTATCCTTATGTTAGATCAGAAGAACCATGCTGTTTTTACTCGAAGAGGAGAAGACCTTTTCATATGTATGAACATACAACTGGTTGAAGCATTATGTGGCTTCCAAAAGCCAATATTTATTCTTGACAATCAAACTATAGTCATCACCTCTCATCCAGGTCAGATTGTCAAGCATGGAGATATCAAGTGTGTCCTAAATGAAGGCACACCAATTTATCGTAGACCATATGAAAAGGGTCGCCTAACCATCAAATTTAAGGAGAACTTTCCTGAGAATGGTTTTCTCTCTCCTGATAAACTCTCTTAGCTGGAAAAACTCCTACCCGAGAGAAGGGAAGTGGAAAAGACTGATGGAATGAATCAAGTAGAACTGGTGGACTCTGATCCAGTCAGGTGCAATTATAATGGAGAAGCATATGAGGAAGATGAACATCATCCACGAGGGGGTGTTCGGTGTCAAATCTCTTAAAGGGCCAGAATTACACTTCCTGCTGGCATTGTTTGTGCAATAGTGAATGAGAGAAGGACTGTAATCATAATATGCTCACTACTTGCTATTGTTTTTGTTTTAGTATTCAACTATAGTAGTGTTTTAAAAGTTAAATGAAGAATAAATGCAAATATTTAAAAAACAGTTTTATGAAATCCAAAATATTTGGCTTAATGAAATCCAAAAAACTAGGTTATCTCATATTTTCAATAAAAATAATGAGGAACAGACTAAAGGATATTTATATTCTGGTGTCCACAGAGGTCTATAAATAAACAAAACAGGGAGAGCAAAGAAGGGCTTTTGAGAAAAATAAATGTGCATATTTTAAAGTTTAGGAGAACATTTTAATAGCAGCAGTTAAGAGTAAATCCAGGCTTTGTCACTAACTGCTTGACCTTGGGACTGGCCTCCTATTGTTCTGTGAAATGGACACGATAGTAGCTGTCTCAAAGAAGTATCAGAACAATGAAATAAGATAACGTTGGCAAAGTACGAAGCCTGACATAAAATACATTCTCAAAATCTGGAAACCATTGTTATTAATTTGCCCAAAGTGACTCCACTAGTGAGTGGGGCAGTTGAGATCTGAATCCAAGTTTGCCTAAAACCAAAGCCCATGGAAACCTTTTCGAACTGCATATCAGGACACAGAGGCTGACTGTTCCCAGAGGTTTTTTTTTCCCCACTAAGTGGTCCATTTTCTTGCTGTAAGCCCCATAAAGACAAAGGAGTCTCCAGTCCCTTTCTGGTATGTCATAAAATTGATAAACATTCTCGGGCTTAGTTAGTTGTGTACTTACAGAAGATAGATTATATTAAGCCTCCCAAACAGCTTCTGGGTAAATTTTCTAATGAGGCTTTTGATACAGTAAATATCCTGCGATTCTGTTCTTCGGCAGTGAACAATTTCCACCTTTCCTCTTGGAGAAGTGAGAACTGACATTTTTCATCCTGTCCCCAAAAGAAAGAAGCCCACTATTAATCTAACAGGAAAAGTCAGTTTGTTACAGTACTCACAAAATGGAACATTAACTCAATTTTAATATGGTCATTGTGAACACAGTACGGGAGTGCTGGTGCGACATAGTTCCCCCCGCCCCCCTGGGATATTGTCTGTGACGACTGTCACTGCAAACCAGACGACATGTTTCTCCACAGAAGAATGACGTTTCTGAGAATTGGCCTGTTTAGAAATGTCTACAACTATATTCTTTGTTTCCAACAAAGTTGCTTTAAAATATTCTAACAATAGGATTGAAACAAATTGAAAAGAATTATTTATTGAAAAGAATTATTTATAGAGTCAGTGTCGTCTTCTCTTTAATCAGGTACCAAGGCATGTGGTCAGAAGTTACAGGGAAAATACTGACAGCTGCTGCCATGTTACAAATACAGCTCCCCAAACTGGAACACTAAAGGAAGCAGTTTCAAGAAATATTTTGAGGCTAAAAAAGTTCTGTGGTCCAATCAGTGCAGGAAATGCTTGCAATAGCCCTGATGGATCCCCATGCCCATTAAAGTCTTTGATAAGTTCCATAATAAAGTAACCTATTTTATTCATATAATCCAGTCTTTCCCAGACTCTTTTGGAACAGAATCTCTAATAACAGCACAGTGGGAAATCTAATGTTCCAGAAAGATACTCAGGGAAATGCTGCTGACAGAAAAAGTTGGTCACAAAATTATTTCAGTTTCTTGCTCAATGTCTGTCTGTCTCTTTCTTTCTTTTTCTCTCTCCTTCACTCCCTCTCTCCTTCCTAGGGAAAATCATTTTATTATATACTAATCGGTGAACTCAAAACAGAGAAAACAATAAAACAGGGAAGTCAATGATGTCTAGACTCCTGTCAAAGCTAGCCATACACCAGGCATGGTGGCTCACACCTGTAATTCCAGCACTTTGAGAGGCTGAGGCAGGAGGACTGCTTAAGCCCAGGAGTTTGAGCCTAGGAATTAGAGACCAGCCTAGGCAACATAGTGATACCTCGTCTCTATAAAGCAAACAAGCACACAAAAAAGCTAGCCATAAATATTGTCATTACTTGTTTCGGCTTTAACTTAAAAGCTAAATTGGAATGAGACATCTTGTGAATTATGATGTTATACACTAAGGCTACAGGTATATATTATGAATAAAAAACTTTCTTATTAGAAATTATATTATTAATTATACCTTCTTATTAGAAAGTATAATTAGAAAGCTGAATTTGAGAAAAAAGAAGGAAGAGAGCAAACAAGAGGAGAAATTCTCCACCCTGTGGCAATGATACTGCTCAGGAATTGATCAAAGCTGATACAGACCCTGATACAGGACCAGAGTTTTGACACTTCATGGGGGCAGCATGGATCTCATTCCAAATAGAAAACTGAAACTAAAACTATGCATCCAACCAGGATTGGGGGCGGGGGGAGATGGGACCCTCAGTGAATGAGAGAACTAGAACAACTAAACACATCAGTCCAAGGAAGATAAAAGGAAGATTTCCCTACCCAAAACTCTAGGTAGAAAACAAAGTAAAAATACTTCTGAGAAGTCAAAACTCAAGATTAAAGTTTGTGTGTCATTTCAGTCCACACTACCTATGTGGTATTATGGTAGTCACCAATAAATTTAAATAATAGATTCTGAAAGAGACTATAAACTATGAATGCTTATAATACAGAAAGAGAAATCCAAGTCATGAGAGAAAAAAAAAAACAGGTAGCTTAAAGAAGAACAGACATTTTAAATGGAAAATATAGCTATTGAAATTTAAGCTAATTGGATGGGTTAGAAACAGACAAGATTGAAGAGAATAAACTGAGAGACAGTTATGGACAAATTATCTAGAAAAACATAGAATTAGGAAAAAAACAGAGTGCAGTTAAGATAAACATAAGACAAAATGAAAAAAAAATCTATGTCTTATAGGAATTCCAAAAAGAATAATGAAATGTCTGAAAGTAATGGCTAATGATTTTTAGAATTGATACAAGATATGAATCTTCAGTTCTAAGCTGAAAATAAAAACAAAACCTAAATACAAAGTAGTGAAATGACAAAACTCTAAAAACAAAGATAAAACTGCAAAGCAGTCAGGTAAAAGACAGACTGCCTATGAAAGAATAATAATTAGACCAACAGACTATTTCTCAACAGCAATAACAGAAGCCTGATGTACACGGATGGAAAACGTCTTCTGTAAAGGGCCAGATAATAAAAGTATTAGGTATTATGGGCCACATGTTCTCTGCACAAGGACTCAACTCTGCTACTGTAACACAATAACAGCCACATACAATATGAACACAGATGAGCGTATTCCAATACAACTTTACTTATGGACACTGAAATTTTTACGTGTCATGTAATATCCCTTGACTTTTTTCAAATGCAAAAATAAAAATCCTTTACTCGCAGGCTATACAAAAATAGGCAATGAGCTTAGTTTAGCCTATTGGCTGGAGTTTTCAGACTACTAGAATAAAAAGTATTTTAAAAATATAAAGGGATATATGGGTGTGGTGGCTCACGCCTGTAATCCCAGCATCTTGTGAGGCAAGATGAGAGGGTTCCCTTAAGACCAGCCTGGGCAACTTGGCAAGACTTCACCTCTATGATGAATCAAAAAATTATCTAGGCATGGTGGCATGGACTCTAGTCCCAGCTTTTGGAAGGCTGAGGTGGAAGGATCATCTGAGCCCAAAAGGTTGAGGCTACTGTAGCCATGATTGTGCCACTGTACTCCAGCCTGGGTGACAGAGTGAGACTCTGACTCAAAAAAAAAAAAAAGACCTTTCATGGTTGGACATGGTGGCTCACAAGTGTAATCCTAGCATTTTGGGAGATAGAGGCAGTAGGATCCCTTGAGCCCAGGAATTTGAGACCAGCCTGGATAAACAGCAAGACCTCATCTCTAAAAAAATTAGCCAGGCTTAGTGGTATGCACCTGTCATCTCAGCTATTCAGGAGGCTGAGGCAGAAGGATCACCTGAGCCCAGCAGATAGAGACTGCAGTAGCTGTGACTGTGCTACTGCACTCCAGCCTGGATGACAGAGTGACACTCCAACTAAAAATAAATAAATAAATAAATACAAAGGGAAAAATAATCATTAACCTAGACTTCTATACGTAGCTAAATAATAAATACAAATTAAAGTGAGATAAAGACAATTGCATACAAAGACTGAAAGAAATCAGCACTCAAAGAATCTTGTTGAAAGAACTAGAAAAAGGTGTATTTCAGGAAGAATAAAGTTAAAATCAGAAAGGAGTGGAATACAAGACGAAATGTTGAGGTATACAAAGGTAAACATGCATGTATATCTGAATAAGCACTGATGGCCAAAAGAGAAGTAAGAATGATGATAGTTTTTTCTTTAAATAAAAAGTTGAACTGAGTTGTCAGACAATAAAGATGTAACATGGAAAGATGGCGACCAGAAGTAAACTATTCCAAGGTGTTTGTATGCTTGAGCAGAAGTTAGAGATGATTAAATAAATTGCTATTTTGTTAAATCAACAATTTCTCATTATAAATTTAAGGAAAATCACTTAAGGGAAACATCTTTTTATTTTAACAGATAGTTGTTTATTTTGCTAGGTGACCTCCCTTTATAATAGTGATACAACATCTTCTCATTCAATTTATTTAAATTTTGAAAAGTGAGAGAACTTAAGATATTTAAATAATATGCATGATACAGAATTATGGCAAACATTTTGATATTGGCTATAACTGATTGCAGTACTGGAAATCTGTGTAAATCTTCTTTTGAAAGAAATATCTGCAAAAAAGGCAGACATAATATTACTTCATACATAAATATATATATTTCCAAACATCAAAAGGAGATTTTCAACTGTGGAAGTTCTCTTAACTGATGAATTGTCAAGCCATGAAAAAACATGGAGGTAACTTAAACACATATAACAAAGTAAAAGAAGCCCATCTAAAAGGCTACATATTATATGACTCCAACTATACATTATAAAAAGGCAAGACTATGCAGACAGTAAAAAGATCAGTAGCTGCCAGGGATTTGGGGAAGGATTGATGAATTGGCAGGAGCGCAGAGGATCTTCAGGGCAGTGAAACTACTCTGCATGGTACTCTAATGTTAGATACATGCCATTACACGTCTTCCCAATCCCATGAAATGCACACCAACAAGAGTGAACCCTAACATGAACTATGAACTTTGGGTGACAATGCCATGACAAAGCAGGTCCATCAACTGTAACAAATGTACTACTCTGGCACAGAATGTTGATCGTGGGGGAGGGTTAAGGGTGGGCAATGAGGTATGAAGGAAATCTCTGTATCTTCTGCTCAATTTTGCTGTGAACTTAAAACTTCTTTTCAAAAATTAAGTCTATTTTATACCAGGCGTGGTTCATCCATGCAATCCCTGCACTTTGGGAGGATGAGTCCGGAGGATTGCTTGAGCCCAGGAGTTTAAGACCAGCCCGGATGACAAAGTGAGATCCCAGACTCAAAAAATAAAAAAATCATCTTAAACATCTGCTTGTTTGACTTTTTTGTTTTTGAAGACAAGTCAAGTATTATACCAGTTAAAATTTACTGAACATTTTATATAGACTTTTCTCTTTAATCCTAGCGAAATAGCTATTACTATTCTTGTTTTACAGTTGAGGACACTGAATTAAGGCACTCTCACAGGGAATTTAAACATGTTTCTTACCAAAAGACTGGGCTATTTTCTAGTTGTTCTAATTTATTTTCATTTTTTCACTCATATCTAGCACATCTAGCGTCAAAGTACCTTTCGTTATTTTAAATTACAAGCCTTAGTGTTATTTTGGCACAAGTGTCCAGAAAACAGAAGGGGGGGGGGCGCGTGGACAGCGAAGACTACAAAGCCCAGAATGCAATGCAGCGCAGGACAGCCTACAGGCGCGGCGGCTCGCCCCTTGTCATGTCGGGAGTTGTAGTTTCCTCGCCTATCTCTCGTCCCTCCCTCTCGATCATACAGATTAGAACTTGGTTCCTACTCCCCTTGCAGGACGCCACAGCCTGACAAATCCACGCATCCTTGCACGGTCATCCCAGGTAGGAGACTGACCTGGGGTTGCGCCCTTGACGACCTGGACCGAGTCCCCGTGTCGCTGCGGAGCAGGCCAGCGGGACACACCTCACCCACAACACCAAGACGCAGCACTGCTCCAAGGAGGACGCGCAGTCTAGTTACCATGGAAACGGCGCCGCCTCCGTCACGGCGCGTGCGGGACGCCAAAGGTCAGGCCAGCTAGTTCCGCTTCCGGTTCCGGAATCCCAGTTGTTGTCGGAAAGCTTTGTGTTGTTGGTGAACTCTCAGGACCTTATTCTTGGGGTCTGGGGCGGAGGGCAGTTTTCCCCGAGTTTTGCTGCTGCAGCCATGGCGGCCTCCACTGCGGCCGGGAAACAGCGGATTCCCAAAGTGGCTAAGGTAGGCGACGGCGAGGCGCCTTGCGGGAGGTGGCCTGGGTGCGGGGTTTCCCGCAGCCCCAGTGATGCCGGGAGTGGGAGAGCGTTGTCCCCGAAGAAGGCTGACCTCCCGCGGGACCGAAGGGGAGAGGGAAGACGCGCCAGTAGTGGGGCAGCGGCTCCTGTCCCACGGTGACGCGCCCCGCGCTGGCGTGGCCTTCGTGCTAGGGAACTGAGCTGTTTCTCCGGGAAGAGGAGTGAGGTCGTCCAGCCCAGATGCTCCGAGCTAGGCGCTGCTCTGGGTACCACGCTCGAATGCGGGCAGCAAGCGCCGCACCAAACACTTGTAAAACGACCACCTTGCGGGATGTCACCGATCCAAAGCTGAGTATGCCTGGGCGAGGATAGGGGGGCTTGTGTGAAGGGATCTTCGGAGTAAACTTTGCTGAGAACATGACATATAAGCTGAGGCTTGGAAGCTGATATCGGAGGGAATGAGAGGAGATGGCAGGAGTTATTTAGTGACATAGTTTAATTAAATAATAGGTTTATTATCTGATATCTCCATCGATGATTGATACTTGCCAAGTGCTTAATATGTGGCGGGCTTTGTTCCAGGCCGCTACAGATGTCCTTCCTCCAGTCTTTCTCCAGCCTGGATGGCTCTCTTGAACGTGATCTTTACATAACGTTTAGGTGACTTGCAGAGGTAATGCATATAAAGCAGGTAGCAAAGTGTCTGTCACTTAATGTTCATTAAATATGAACTGACATTATCGTCATTACCCCATTCATGGTAGTAAATAACATTTCTTATAATTCAATTTCATAAACTTTTATTGGGCACCACAGGTCCAAATAGAAATATAATGCAAACTACATAATATAGTTTTCAATTTTCTCATAGCTATAGTAAAAAGTAAAATCAGCAAAACAAAAACAGGTGACAGTAATTTTAATGGTGTGTTTTATTACTCAAAATAATATGTGATCAGTATAAAAATTGAATAATTCAGTTTATTGTTTCTTTCATACTCAGTCTTCAAAACCAATGTGTATTTTATACTTACTGCCCATCTCAGTTTGCACTCACCACAGTGACTTAGACCTACTGTGTTGGACAGCACAACTATAAGATCTCAAGAAGCTTACAGTCTGGTGATAGCAGCTTATTGAATATTGCCTTTGACATGAAGTGCCATGAAAAACCAAACCCAGTCATCCACCAGGGGTGTTCAAATAAGTTGAAAAAGTTTGTAAATAGAGGTTGTAATAATCTAAGATGTGGTATGTGTCTTGTTGGCAAAACCTCTGGTGAGAATTTTACCTAGGCAATCTCAAAGTGTATATTATTATACTTATCTAAAAGGGAATGCTTACTATTATTTTTGCCACTTGTTTCTCTTGGGACTTTTACCTATCGCTTTGTAATATGTATCATGTATAAGATAGAAAAGATAATATCTTTTTCTACTCAGTCTTACGGAGTAATGGGAATGTCATATAAAGAGGGCATCTTATGATAGTACTGATAAGGTTCATAGCCTAAAAAGCAACAACAAAAAAATTTGTTTCTTAAATCTTGTGTGAAGAACATGTACCAAAAATAGAAATGTCTTCTTTCTTAAAAGGTAAAAAACAAAGCCCCAGCTGAAGTACAGATAACCGCTGAGCAACTCTTAAGAGAAGCTAAAGAAAGAGAACTTGAACTTCTTCCACCTCCACCGCAACAGAAGATCACAGATGAAGAAGAACTAAATGACTACAAACTAAGGAAGAGGAAGGTCAGTCAGTGTGATTGTTCAGTCTATTCATTGTTAGGGGTTACAGGTCAGAGTTTGAAAAGTTCCTCTTCATTGGTTAGAATCTACAAAGCAAGATGAGTAGTGTTTCTAGCCACGTGACTGATAGGACTCTGGTTGCTAGATGACTGCATTTTGCTAAACTATGTAAGATATTCCATGAGTTCTCCATTTTAAAATATAAGGAAGTAGAATCCACCAGAGACATAATTTTTGGTGCTGGATCAAAGGTAGGTGGAACAACTGACAACTGGAAGGGGGTCTACTTAGCAAGGCTGCACTGTTGTCTGTACTGCCTTCTGTGTTAAGAGATGGGATCTAAGAAAGAACCGTGAGAAGACTTTTGGGATCTGATGTCACCTCCCTCTAAAATGTGCGTTTATTTCAGGCCATTAATTCTGTTGTTACCTGCTTATTTGTTATTCCCAATGAGTTATGTATGAAATTCTGATAATTACCCAGAATACATAAAGATAATATTCAAAAACATGTTTTTATTAGGGACAGTTGTGGAATGTGTCCAGTTAGTTGTCATGGGCAACAGGAGAAAATATCAACAATTCTGCTAATACTTCTTTATATCTCAAGTTTTCTCCTTGTTTATATGTAAGACTTTAAAGTAATACTTGTGGTTGTAACTTTCGCTAGTGGGTTTCTTAATCCTCAAAGATTTCAAGATGTAGTTTCTCTTACATAAGAAGAAAATGACTAACCTTTTCAGTACAGTGCTTATAATAGGCAAAGGATGATGATGTCATTTTAGTCATTTTCCCTTTAAATTTGACCCCCTTTGCCTTCTTCCAGACTTTTGAGGATAATATAAGAAAAAACAGGACTGTGATTAGTAACTGGATAAAGTACGCACAATGGGAAGAAAGTCTAAAGGAGATTCAAAGGTAAAATTGCTGAGGGGTAATTTTGTATATAAAGATGTCATAAGTTAACAGATAAAATATATGTATATATGTAAAGCACAAGTAGAAGAGTGTGGCTTTGGTAGTAATTTTCACCTTTGTTGCATGACACATTTGAGGGCCCTGGACACTGTAGTAGGATAGTCCTGAGGGCAGTGGCGGGACAGGGCTCTAAAGGTAGGTCTTCCTCCTAAGTCACACTCCATTGCTGTAGGAGCACAGTTTCATCTGCTTTCTATATACTCAGATTTTTTTAAAAATTAAAATATTCAGCTGAAAGACAGTGACCAACAAGATAAAAATTGTGACATGGCCCTTCCCATTGTCCAGCCTTTCTGCATTTACCCCTTATGCCCACCCCCACTACGCCTGTGTACTTGCCACTCCCTGAACATGTCATGTCTTCTTTCTGTAACATTTGGCTGTTCTCTCTGACTGGAATGAGTACCCTTCCCCACCAACCTTGATGTAGTAAACTGGAACTTTCCTCAAGTTCTCAGTACTGGAGTTGCCTACTACTTAATCTTTTCTACCAGACATTTTTCATTCTTCTTCTCTGCTTCCTGTGCAGATCTTGACTATAACAAAATTCACATTGCATTATAATTATGTATGTTTCTTTCTATGAGACTTTGTAAGGTACTTGAGAATATCTTTTCATCTTTTTATGCCCAGAACCTGGCTTATGGGAGGCACCCGTTAAAGCAGCAGGACATTGCAGATGGTTTGAAATAACGACTACGTGTGTTGTGTGCACTACTTTTGATGCCCTCTAAATCTTGCTTCTTAAGGGCTCGATCCATATACGAGCGTGCTTTAGATGTCGACTATCGAAATATCACACTATGGCTGAAATATGCAGAGATGGAAATGAAGAATCGCCAAGTCAACCATGCCCGAAACATCTGGGACCGCGCCATAACTACTCTGCCTCGAGTCAACCAGTTCTGGTAAGTTTCTTATCTAGCAATACAGCCTTTTAAAGATTAGAAAAGTGCTGCGCTTTTGTGTATTTATTTTATTTTCATGTTATAATCATTTAATTTTATATCTTTTTCTTTAACCACAGAAGTGCTTTTTAATGTCCCATAGCCTATTCAGTCATAACCGTAGTGTTTATTAACTATGTGATCAAAACTAAAACTTTGATTACAATCGTTTATGCATAAGAAACTTCTTGTCAAGCTGGCAATTTTTAAGAAAAAAATCTCTTTTTTTCCCAATAGCTCATCCTTTTTCAGTTTTATGCTTCAGTGAGTAAACATGTTTGATTTAACCTTTAGGAAAGATAAAACTTTAAGTCTTCTTCCTGTTTGGCAATGAAAAAGTTGTAAATTGAAAGATAATTATTTTTCCCAAGTCATTTTGACCACAACAGGTGTTTCTGGGTGATTTTCTTAAAGGTACAAGTATACGTACATGGAGGAGATGCTGGGCAACATTGCTGGTGCCCGCCAGGTATTTGAGCGATGGATGGAGTGGCAGCCTGAGGAGCAAGCCTGGCACTCCTACATCAACTTCGAGTTGAGATACAAAGAGGTGGATCGAGCCCGTACCATATATGAGCGATATATCCTTTGGACAAGATCTGAGTGGTGGTGCCATTATTGTCCTGGGTGCTGCTCCTCCCATGAGGCAGCCTCATGGTCAGGACTCATAGTCATTAATGCCAAGCTAAAAGTCATGTGAGTTGATCAGCTTCACATGTTTTGTAGGGACAAAGATGGGTCACAGTGAAAATTTGTGGTCTGGGTAATTGAGTCTTTCCCAGTGAGAATTTGGGCTTATTTATATTTTAGTGCTAGAAACCAGTGTTGGTATTATTTCCTTCTATTTACAGATGAAACAGCTAGGCTGGGCTCAGTGACTCAGCCTGTAATCCTAGCACTTTGGGAGGCCAAGGCAAGTGGATTGCCTGAGCCCATGGGTTCGATAACAGTCCAGGCACAACTTGGCGAGAACTCGTCTCAAAAAAAAAAAAAGAGAAAGAAAGAAACAGCTGAAGCAAGTTCGGTAACTTGTCCAAGATCACATGGCTAGTAACCAGGGTGGGGATTTTTCTTTGGCTCCAAACTGGTATTTGTGCCCAATACTAAATCCTGATGAAGCCTTAGAGGAAGACAGATGAACAAGACATGGCCCTGCCCTCACAGAGGCCACAGTTTAGTTTCACACCTCTGTGTGTGTTTTATCCCCTTGGCACTATAGTTGGAATTGTTGGGGTTTGGGGGTTTAGTATGACTTTGGTGTTTATTATTTTTCAAGCCATGCTGTCTTGCCTGATGTTTCCTTAACGTCCCTGCACTTGTCCTTGTACACCCTGATGTGAAGAACTGGATCAAGTACGCCCGCTTTGAAGAAAAACATGCTTATTTTGCCCACGCACGGAAAGTGTACGAGAGAGCTGTCGAATTCTTTGGAGACGAACATATGGATGAACACCTTTATGTTGCCTTTGCCAAATTTGAGGAAAATCAGAAAGAGGTAAGTATACTTAAGGAACTCGATTACATTGCAAAACAACTTACAAAAGAGTACATATTGTAAGTTGAGTGCACGATTAGTTCATTTCCATTTTTTCTTACTTATCCTAGGGGAAAATGTTCTCAAGATACAAAAACAGTTTCTCACAGAGAACAGTATACTTATGTGACTGAGCTACAGATTCAGAGCTGAGTGATCATAAATTGTGTTAGAACTGTCTTCATTTTGGTGTACTGTGTTTGAAGATTAAGCCTCTTAAGTTGGAATGTTTGTAAACTGAGAGTTAGTTATTTGGCATTCTGATAAAAGAACTTTACAGGTAATAAACTTGGGAAGCAAAAAGCCAAAAGCCCTCAGAACAGAAAACAGAATATAGAATGAAAATAGAGAGTACCCCACAAGTAAGTCAATTCTCTGCTTCCCCAGTATATATGGAAAATAATTTGTTAAAGTAGTTCAGATAACACTGAATTGAGAGTGTTAGGTAGGCTGAAGTCCACCCACATGTAGGTCGATCATTCCTAATCTGAAAATCTGAGATGCAAGATGCTCCAAAATCTGAAACTTTTTTGAGTGCCCATGTGGCACTTAAAGAAAATGCTCATTGGAGCTTTTCAGATTTAGATTTCAGATCAGGGATGCTGAATTGGTAATACAATGCAAATATTCCAAAATCCAAACAATCTGATATTCAAAACCCTTCTGGTCCCAGGCATTTCAGATGGGGGATACTCACTTACAAGGACTCAGCATATCATGCTGGGTGTTCAGGTTCTGCTCTGAGACCGGTGGGAAGCATTGCAGGGTTTCATATGGGAGAGTCGCTGGATATGGTTTATGTTTTAAAGATTTTCTGGCCAATTCATGTAAATTAGGGGGAGGGTGGCAAAAATGGAACGTGGGAGACCTACGGGGAGTGTTTTGAAATGGTCCAGCTAAGAAACAGGGCTTGAAGGTGGGCCTGGGAGAAGGGAAGGGCTGTGGGGAACAGCAGGAAGTAGCAGGGCTGGTTGCAGGAGTGCACGTGGGGAGTGAGAGGAGGACAGGAGTCAAGGGGACTCCTGGCGATGTGACTGTGTGCAAGTGTACAACTGTGACAACTGTGGGTGTTGCCTGCTAAGAATGGAAAGTCAAGGAAAGACCCAGGTTTGGTGAGGAGAAAACAAGTTTGGTTTTGAACATGATTAGTTTGAGGTACGGTAGACTTATTCAAGGTAGATCTCAAAAAAGATCCTGTCATTCCATCCTGACAGAAATATCTTCAGCAAAAGAGAGAAAAAAGTCTTATTTTGGACATTATGAGGCCTCAAAATCTAACTTATAAGTAATATTTTATGTTGTATTTACCCTCCAAGTCGTAAATGGCATGAGATGATTGTGTTGCAAAAGGTAATCGTCCTGTCTGCTTTCAGTTTGAAAGGGTACGAGTGATTTACAAGTATGCTCTGGATAGAATTTCAAAACAAGACGCCCAAGAACTCTTTAAGAATTATACTATCTTTGAGAAGAAGTTTGGCGATAGGCGGGGGATTGAAGAGATCATTGTGAGCAAGCGGAGATTCCAGTATGAGGAGGAAGTGAAGGTGAGTGCTGGTGTGGATGGCCAAATACAGATGACTATGCTCAGTGCAAGCTGTGGTAAAACGAGCAAGAGCAGGTGAGGGCTACCCGTGAGGATACTCTTGATGATGTGTCTGTGAGAAATTGGCAGCTCTTTCACACAAGTAGGGGTAAACGAGGCTGATCAAAAAGGCTCATAAACAACCCTTGGATGGGCTCTTCCCCTCACATTTGAAAGCCATATTGTTGATTGTTGACTGTGCATGTGGGACCTGAACAAAGAGTCTATTTGAACTCATTTTTGAGAGAAGATAGAAGAATCAGAAAGATTGACCCAAAGCTCTCTTGTGCACATCACCTTTTAGCTTCCCTGCCTGAATGAAAGATGCATAGTAGGTAGGGTTCCAGTCTCAGCTCTTCATCTGTAATGCATAATTTTTATGTCAGTTCAAAGAAAGTAGAATTTCCTTCAGTATTCAGCTGTGCATTTAAAAATCCTTTTGCTTAGGCAAGTTACTTAAGGTGTCTCCAAGCAAAGAATTAAGTCTGATGTTAGATGAGGTGATAGGTTAGTGAGGTATGCTCAAGATAAATTACTATTAATTGAAAAGGCATTGCTCACAATTGGGAGCATGATATGATTCCACTGTAATTTTATTGTAGACATAATGATATGTTGTCACATATGTAGGCAAAGGCATCGCTAAGCATAGATGTCTAATGATTGAATATCTTGGGAGTGCTGGCTGTAGATGAAGGGGGCATCTGGCAAATTATCTGTCCTCTATATTCCTCCTTCTTTTCTATTCATACAATCTCAGGACAGTGCTATTAAAATGAGATAACATGTAAAATTTAGAAAAGTTACTAAAATAATGCAAGTCAGCCGGTGCCTTTGTTCAGCTCACGTAACCTGGCAGGCAAGTACCTGGTTTGTTTTGATTTCCTCCACGGCTGTCTTCCTAGGCTAATCCCCACAATTATGATGCATGGTTCGATTACTTGCGCCTGGTGGAAAGTGATGCTGAAGCTGAGACAGTACGTGAAGTCTACGAGAGAGCCATCGCCAATGTGCCGCCCATCCAGGAGAAGAGGCACTGGAAGCGTTACATTTATCTCTGGGTGAACTATGCACTCTATGAAGAGCTGGAGGCAAAGGTGAAAAAAACGGAACTGCATGTTAGCTGTTCATGGCTCCCGCTATATCCCACAGCTCTCCTATTATGAATATTTATGATCCTTGAAACAAATTCAGTTTTAGCTGGGCGTGGTGGCTTACACCTGTAATCCCAGCATTTTGGGAGGTGGAGGCGAGAGGATTGCCTGAGCCCACAGGTTCGAGACCAGCCTGGGCAACATGGTGAGACCTCGTCTCTACAATAAACCAAAAAACTTAGCTGGGCGTGGTATGGTGCATGCCTATAGTTCCAGCTACTTGGAAGGCTGAAGTGGAAGGATCACCTGAACTTAGCAGGTCAAGGCTTCAGTGGCTGAGAGCATGCCACTGCATTCCAGCCTGGGTGACAGAGTGAGATTCTGACTCAAAAAAAAAAAATTCGTTATTAAATCCTTAAAAACCTTTGCTCAGCTGTACAGTTATACAGAGGATGTCAAAAAAATGTATACACATTTTAAGAAGGGAAAAAAACTATTATAATACTAAGATAAATAGAAGTTACGTTAGATTTCTGCAATTACAGGAGGTGCTCAAAGTGGTTACCATCAACATCTAGACACTTCTGAATTCAGTTAATATTACTTAAAATGTCTATACATTTTTTTGGCACCGCAGTATAGTCTCTCTGCAACATTTGAAACTCTGGGCTTGTGGTACCCTGTGAGGTGTTTTTTTGTTTGCTTTGGTTTGGCTTTTAAACCATGAGGCACAAGAAGATATCCCTTGGAACTGGAAAGGGGACAATGAACCAGCTCTTGATTTAATGATATGCAGTTTCCTGGGCTTTCTCACAAATAGGAATCACGACTAGATTGTACATTTTTGCTTTTAGAAAAATCAAGTCGTGTTTTCAGAAATTGATCATATGTAAGTTAACAGGAAAAAGTTAACCTGCTGCTGCTGATCTGAGACTATAAAACGTCTTTTTCTTTTTGCTATCAGGCAAAAAGCCTTTCTACAAAGAAGCACTCAGAGTCTGATGGCTATATTGTTGGTGATTCTAAATCAAAGTTTGATGGCCAAGGTAGTTTATACTTTTGATTATAAATGGAATCAGGGTTTGAAAGTAGCAACTTGTGAAAACATATTCAATGTTGGGAGTGTTGTATATTTTTACGAGTACCAGTAAAATTAGTAGCTGGTAAGGCTAGTGCTAGCAACAGACTTCAATATTTTGTGAAAATTTCTTATACTAATACAGGATCCTGAGAGGACAAGACAGGTGTATCAAGCCTCTTTGGAATTAATTCCTCACAAAAAGGTACGTTTGCTCTAAAGCGTTCAATTCCAAACAGTTCAGAATCCTCTTCTGTTACCTGTAAAATAACTCAGTGAAACAGTATTTATTGATTTAGTATTTCATTGTGCTGGGCACCATGGAAAACAAATAAGAGTGAGATTTGCACCTTGTCTCTGAAAATAGCTTACAGTCTAGGTCAGAGGACAACTTGCATTTAATGATGAATAATAGAGATAACAGTATAGAAGTTTAGAGGAGGTGGGGTAACTTGGATAGACGGATTGGAAGGAGGAAGACTTACCTGCAGGGAGCACAGATCGACAGGCTTCTTGTAACAGTGAATAGTGCATGCATGCGGAATGTACCCTTTCTGTGCACAGTTGAGAAGTTATCTCTGCCATATTTCCCAGTATGAGAAACAAAGTGTGTTTCTTTCTGTAGAAACCCTTTTAGAATTGAGTATGATGTTCTGCTCACTTACAAGCATACCCACAAAACAAATCCTGTTCTAAGCAGAGGCTACAGTGTCATGAAGTACAATAAAGTATCCAGATCTTGCTATGTTTTTAACTTTTGGGAAATAAATATAGTCATCTTTGCTTGTAAATGAGCTAAATGCATCCCTCCTTGATCTAAAGTTTTAGGGAAATCTAATTACCAGTGGCCTTTGGTGAGTCTAAATTTACTTTAATTCAATTTCATTTGAATGAATCTCTTAAACTAGATATTTTTGTGCTTTTGTTTTCTAGTTCACATTTGCGAAAATGTGGATACTATATGCACAATTTGAAATAAGACAGAAAAATTTATCACTTGCCAGAAGAGCTTTGGTAAGTCAAGAAAGGATCAAGATGCCTCATTAAGCTCTATGAGAAGAATAAAAAAATCTTAGTGCTTAACAACATGTACACTTCCTGCTGAAAAAAAAACAAAACAGAAATACTATATTTTTATAGCCTAGGACATGTTAGAAAACGTGTGTCTTTGAAAAAACACGGGCTAACAATGCTTATTCTTATTATCTAGGTCAAGTGAACATCTTACTTCAACATTGGAAAGTCTGTAGCTACCAGAGACTATATCTTTCCTTGGACTAGAATTAGTGGTCTGACCCTGTACAAAGTTTTTGGTGCATTAAATGCACTTTCCTCTTAATCATTGTTCTAAAATGACTTAATAGGATCAAATACTGTGTATAAATGCAATTATCCTTCAGATAAGCTACTCTCGCCCTGGCTGTGGGCAGCAAGGCGAGTTTCATTCTTTGATTACCTTTTTATTTATAGAAAATTTTATGCGTCTGATGTCCATATTCCATGGGATATCTTGAGAAATTTTCAAATCCAAAATAGTTGCCCAAACAGTTCTGGACCACTGCCTCTTGCTCAATGAATTAGACAAGTTTCCTTTGGTCTTTTGTCAAAAACCAGTGTGAACAGTGTGATAGATACCACAGAGGGAAAGAACAGCTTGCCATGTGACTGCAAGGTTCTCCCTCACAGAGAACAGCCTCCTGGACAGTGTAGTGATGGTGCATGAGTTGAGCCCACCAAGGCTTCACAGTGGTCTGGCTGTTCTGTTTTCCAGGGAACTTCCATAGGCAAATGTCCAAAAAACAAGTTATTTAAAGTATACATAGAGTTGGAACTACAACTTCGAGAGTTTGACAGATGCCGAAAGCTTTATGAGAAGTTCTTGGAATTTGGACCTGAAAATTGCACCTCCTGGATTAAATTTGCAGAATTAGAGACAATCCTTGGTGACATTGAGAGAGCCCGGGCAATCTATGAATTAGCTATCAGCCAGCCTCGTTTAGACATGCCAGAGGTGAGCATCTGGGGTATCACGTGCTTTAGACACTCTCTAGTCTTACTTTAGGTGGCTATCTAAACTTAGTGTGTGTTTGGGAGTATAAAGATGATCTACCCAACTCATAGTCTCTTCTCAGATTGGGTTTTTTTTTTGTTAGGAGAGAAGGGCTGGCAAGGGAGATGGGAGCTGGCTCTCTCCTCAGGGAGCAGGGCACATCCAGAACAGACTAGGATGAATGGGGATCGGGCAGGTAATGGGCTCTCCTCCTCCCATCTCAGGCAGAGAGGGCTAAAGGAGACTAGAGGGGAAGTCCAGGCAGGCAGCAGCCCGCAGGTCAGCCCGTCCAAGCACAGGAGGGTAGAAGTGGGGGCCAAAGAGAGAGACACCAGCTAACCAGGATGTTCTGGAATTGCTGCTGCCACCATCTGGAGAGTCCAGGCCTGCCACTGTAGTTAAACCTGAGCCACAAGATGGCGCCTAACCGTAGCTACTAGGATCAGCTTGAAACTCACAGGAACCCAACCCAGTTTGTTAATCGTGCCCTAACATGACCCTGCTTTAATGATTGGGGCCCCTCGACCAGTCTGTCAGCTCCTTGGTGTCCAGGCCACTGCTTATTCATCCTTGTGCCTTGACAGGCTGCACCCAGTGGGTGGGCACCTGTTCAGTGAATGCTTGCTGAGTGGGGTTTACGGTGCAAGTGCAGACATGCATCTTGGCTGTCTGGCCTGTGTTCTCCCAGAAGTTCTACTGCATGTGGCAGGATCTGCGAGAACGCCTGGGAGGCTTGGCAAGTTTCTCGACTCTTGATAAGTCAGGCATTTGAAGAACTTCCAAAGAGAACCCAAGCCAGAATCCAAGACCCTTTTTTTCTGTAATCAGGAATTCTAGTAAAGTTTTGGCCAGCGTATACCAGTTTTGGCCAGCTTATACCAGTATTATTTATGAGGGGGGCCCCCCAAAAATCAGAATTATCTTCTAGAGGGTGGGCCCTTTACAGTACAGGCTTCCTTCGCTGGCTAAGTGTTCTAGGAATCCATTGGCATGTACAAGCTAGCATTGTCGTGAGAGGCTGTGTTTGGCTTCAGTGAATTTTTTTTTTTTTTTTTGAGATTCTTTCAACCTGTTTGCCCATTTCATGATGGGTGATTTACGAGGGTACCTGTCCAAACCGTGATGAGTGCTCAGTTTTTTGTTTTTTGTTTTTACCAAAAACAGCATGATTCCCATGCCCTACCCTCCCTGTTCACTCCATCTTGCCCAGAGTGACATTTTTTTGTTCCCCAGTTGAAAAAAGTCCTCAAAGGGAAACATTTTGCTGATGTGGAAGAAGTGAAACAAAAAATGGCAGAAGCACTAAAAGGCATCAAAACTGACAAGTTCAAAAACTGTTCTGAGCAGTGAAAAAGCATCCTGATAGGTGTATTGTATCAAATGGAGAGGACTTTGAAGGTGACTGAAGTGTTAACATGAAAAAATAAATACGCAATTTTTTATAAAAACTACTCTTGGGAGGGTTCCCTTTGTATCTTGTGCACATGTAGTGTGTTCCCTATCTGTTCAAGAAAAGTCCTGTGTGCCTGGATGTAGGTTAGAATGATACTTAAGCTGTGCTTTCGATGGGGCGTGCTGCTTTCTAAATGTCAAGATTCATCTATTAAGCTTTATTTTTAGGTGCTTTGGAAATCATATATTGATTTTGAAATTGAGCAGGAAGAAACAGAAAGAACACGAAACCTTTACCGACGATTGCTTCAGCGGACACAGCATGTCAAGGTATATTGAGATTTGTTGATGATCTTTGACTTTGCTTGATCAGCAGGCCTGAAGAAAATATTGTATTTCTGTATTTCAAGTATTTGGGGTTTTTTTTGAGTTGGAGTCTCACTCTGTCACTCAGGCTGGAATGCAATGGTACACTCATGGCCCCTGTAGCCTCGACCTGCTGGGCTCAGGTGATCCTTCTGCCTTAGCCTTCCAAATAGCTGGAGCCACAGGCACGAGCCATCATGGCAGGCTAATTTTTTGATTCGTTGTAGAGACAAGGTCTCGCCAGGTTGCCCAGGCTGGTCTCAAACCCCTGGGCTCAGATAATCCTCTCATCTCTGCCTCCCAAAGTGCTGGGATTACAGGTGTGAGCAGAACGCCTGGATTTTTTTTTTTTTTTTTTTTTTT